AATTGGTCACGTACCTTGGCCTGATTCCCTTTCCGGCGTACTTTAGCATCTGGGTGTGGCGAAAAATCGCGAGTTAGATCCTGCATATCGGCGAAGTCATGCTTCAAGACTGGAGTATTTTACATCCTACACGACATATCAGTTCATTACAATTGTATAATTAACAAAATATGCGGTTCGACTAATAGCAACCTTTACTTATTGTCTTAGAACAAAATGTTGGCAGAAAAGAAAGCATCACTAGAGGCGGTAGAGGCGAAGATGGCGGCTTTGCAGGCAGAGTTGGATGCGACGCAAGAGAAGAAGCAGGAACTCGTGGACCTTATCGATTTGTGTGGCAAAAAGTTGGAGCGTGCCACGCAACTCATAAGCGGTCTTGGAGGCGAGAAATCCCGTTGGACGGAGGCGGCGAAGCAGCTTAAGGCACGTCTATTTTCTGCCTCCCGCATTGGATAGTCTCCTTCTAGCTCTGCACCTAAGGACTCCAACATCATATTCTTTACTTGTCCAACAGGAACGGTACTACAACATTACAGGAGATGTACTGCTGGGGGCTGGAGTGGTGGCATATCTGGGTGCCTTCACAGTCGACTATCGGTCGAGTGTGACCACAACTTGGCACCAGATGACGCTGGACCTAAAAATTCCTTGCTCGGAGATATTCAGAATAGCTGAAACCCTTGGAAATGCAGTAACTATCCACGAGTGGAACATCGCTGGTTTGCCGGTGGATAGTTTCTCTACTGACAATGGAATTATTGTTTCTAACTCCAACCGATGGTCATTGTGCATAGACCCACAAGGTGTGCCTTTCTAACTTGGTATTTCGTCGAGTTTTCTGTCATTTGCTACTTCTTGTCGAGATTTTCTCGTCTTATTTGCCTCACATATTTTCTTCTTCACTCACGTTGAACATTTTGCGAGTGAATGTTATCCTTGACGGTGTCGAATTTTCCAGGCTTTTCTATAATAATGTATGATCATCCATCAAGAGGTATAAAAATAGGGTCTTCATTATCACAGTTATATGTGTGTTGGACGATTTATCACAGCCCACAGTGGAATGCCACCTCACACCATCTTATATTTAGGTGAAAATGGGAAGGAGGCATTTGAAAAGATTTCACCATTAAATCTATCTAAGTAGAGTCGAAATTAGGAATGTATTTTATCAGAGTTAGCCAAAACTTAGTGAAGCATTTCCATGTGGGCTGTATACCTCATAATATCATTTGTTTTGAGTGGTAAGGCGTCCTCTTGTTCCGTATTGAAACTGCAGGTCAGGCAAACAAGTGGATTCGTAACATGGAGAAGGACAGGAACATCCACGTGATTCGCATGACCGATGCTAATTATATGCGAACCCTGGAAAATGCAATTCAATTCGGTTGGCCTGTGCTACTTGAAAATGTAGGCGAAAGTTTGGATCCTGTTTTGGAACCCATTTTGCAGAAACTTGTCTTCCGTCAAAGCGGTAGTGACTACATCAGACTGGGTGAAGACGTGCTAGAATACAATAGCGATTTCAAGTTCTACATCACAACACGTCTACGGAACCCGCACTATGTGCCTGAGATATCTGTCAAGGTGTGTCTCATCAACTTTATGATCACCCCAATCGGTTTAACCGACCAACTGTTGAGCATTGTTGCCGCGATGGAGAAGCCTGAACTAGAAGCGACAAAGAACCAGGTGATTCTGGAGTCAGCAGAGAATATACGGACTCTGAAGGAGTTGGAAGACAAAATTCTTGTGGTGCTAAGTGCCTCCGAGGGCAATATTTTAGAGGACGAGACAGCAATCAACATCCTCTCCACCTCCAAGACCCTTTCTGAGGAGATTCAGGTGAAACAAGAGGTAGCAGAGAAAACCCAGGTTGAGATCGAGGCCACGCGCAGTGGCTACATCCCTGTTGCCAACCACGGCGCCATCCTCTTCTTTTGTATCGCTGACCTCGGCAGCATTGACCCCATGTATCAGTATTCGCTCACGTGGTTCGTCAACCTCTTTGTCATGGTGAGTTGAAG